TGATTCATCAGAGTGTTTCTCAGTCTTTAAAAAAATGTTCTAAGAAAATATACCATGCATATCCCATGTTCACCGAGGGTCACAGATGATGCAAAGGTATGCTGACTGATCCCAAAGGATATGAAATGGTTACATGTGAAATGTGAAACAAATGTCCCATTTTAACTTTTTCTGTTGGGGGGGGGGAACTTGAGGTGTGAATGGGAGTTCTTTCACTGCTGTTAGATTAGGGTTAGACCCTCCTGGAGGGAAGCAAATTAGAGAGGGCCAGGGTTATTGTTTTAGTAATCAGCAGTGGCCGTTCGAGTTACAAAGCAAATGCGACGTGTTGTTGAATTGGTGGCAGATCCCATTTTGATCCAGGATTAGCAGAGGGCCGCAGACGCCACATTCTTCTGTTTCCAGTGTTTTGCTTTTGTTTGTTTTGTCTTTAAATGCTTGCTAATATTCCTCTGCATTCGCTCTGCCAGTTCCCTGCTGTGCTGGTATTTGTAGTTGGTTCACAGGCTGCCTTCGCTTGCTGATTGTGTGGGTTTTTTGGATATATGTGTTTTTTGTTTTTAAAAAATTACGGAGTAGGGGAGAGGGGCCTGTCTAATAGCCTCCTTGCTGCTGGTCCAAGAATCTGGCTGGGTTCCAGCACCTGGCCATGACATACAGCACCCTTCATGAAACCAGACAGAATTAAACCCTTTGTTTCCTGTTTGCCTGGCTGGCTTAAAAAAAAAAAAAGAGGCAGGGAGGCTGGAGCTCCCAACAAGACTGTCTTTGTATTAATTTAATTAATCAGTTTAGTAGAGAGAAGGGGGGGAAAAGAGGATGGGAGTTCATGTACTAAATGTGTGTTTTTCTTAGGGGTTTAAATCAGTTGTCCATATTGGGGGCTTGATCGCTGATACTTCAGTGGGGAAGAAAGTCTTTTGAGTTCTTGACGTCTTCCCGTGAACTATTCCTAAGTAAATTCCCAGAATTGCGATCCAGTAAAAAATATTTCTGGGTCTTTCCAACTAGCAGCTGTTGCTAATTCCTTGGAGTTGTGCTTAAGTTTTTTAAAAACCCAGAGTTTCTAGTCTGAATATTGTTCACATTGCAATGACTTGGACACTATTTAGAATGCTGGTATCTGCTGGTGCCTTAGATCAAGTCATGACGATACTTAAAGACTTGGTATCTTTAAAATTATATGGTGTTATCTTTATGAGTTGCATCAGTCACATTTTATGAAATGTTGGGACTTCCCTACTTACAAGTGAGTAGATCGTCACCAGCTTCTCCACCCCTGAAATTTCACTCACCTGATTTGTACTGCATTTGTACTCTTTCTAGGGTTGCCAGCTCTTGCTTGGGAAATACCTGGAGACTTTGGGGGTGGAGCTTGAGGAGGGCAGGGTTTGGGGAGGGGAGGGACTTCAGTGGGGTATAATGCCATAGAGCCCACCTTCCAAAGGAGCCATTTTCTCCAGGTGAACTGATCTCTCTGTTGCCTGGGGATCTGTTGTAGTAGTGGGAGATCTCCAGCCACCACCTGGAGGTTGGCATCCCTAGCTCTTTCCCTGTTTTCTCATACCATGCCCTCCTCAATGCCTTTCTTCTCCTTGTCTGCTACATATGTCTTGGCCACATGCCAGTCTCCAGCCTCTCTCAAACCTACAGAAGCCACCAGTTTACATAGTTGCATATTGCTGAATTTGTCACTGGTATGCTTTGTGACAGTCTTGTAGGAGTGCGAGCCAGTAGATTTCATGTTGCTTTCAGGAGTCGCCAATTGCTGCATTCTGTGTAATGGACACAGGAGGAGCTAGGCTCAAAAGAAAAGCAGGAATAAAATGCGTTTTGTTGATTGCGCCAGTCTCAGTTTTGCCCTGGATCTTCCAGATAGCTTTTAAAGAAAATAAATACATAGTTCCTGTTTAAACACAGAAGAGTGAGATGAGTGTGCTTGGTGTCACTGCAACACAAGTGTGAAGTTTGACTTCTACCTTTCGCAGTCTCAATAAGCTTGAGGCCGGCATTGCTAAACCGCTTGCATGGATGCATCCCGAAACATCCCATGCTACCTCTGTTCGAGAAACCCATCTGGGGTGAACTTCAGCTGTTGTTAATTTGCATCTGTTAACTCATTTTTGCACAAGTGCACATTTCTTAGCAATATGTGCTTAACTTTTTGGCTGAATTGAAAGGACACCTTGCTTGAGTCTGTCCTTCATTTTACATCATTTTAAATTTTTTTGTCACATCCAGCCTGATGGAAGTGTTCTGATGAGCTCAAAAGCTTTCACAATATTTTGTCTCCTTTTGGTTTACATGGATTACATGGGTTTTGTTTCTTATTTTGAAAGGGCAACAACTGGAATACTTCTGTGTCACCTCTCTCCACCCCAAAAAAGGTTCAGAAGGGTTAGAATGCATTGCCATACCTAAGCTGCAATCTGATGCTTTCTAAAAAAGAGTGAGGGATCAGAATAAGCTTGTCTTCCTTGGGTTGTGCTGCCTTGCTATGAACTCTGAAAAGTAATTACCGTATTTTTCGCTCCATAAGACGCACCTGACCATAAGACGCACCTAGTTTTTAGAGGAGGAAAACAGGGAAAAAAATATTCTGAACCCTGGGGCTCAGTATTCGGTCCATAAGATGCACACACTTTTCCCCTCACTTTTTTTGGAAGAAAAAGTGCGTCTTATGGTCCAAAAAATACGGTATTTATGTTTCATGTGTGCTTAGGAATGCACCCAGAAATTTGCTTGCCAACTTAATGTTGCCTGCATTAATGTTGATTTGCTTGCAGTCAAGATTACAAGTTTTGTATTTGGCATTTCACATGCCGCATTTGTCATTGTAAGTAAAATAACTAGTTTTATATGGTTCTAGTTTCCATGTGCCCATTACTTAATGGTAGGGAGGGCAGCTTTTCTTTGTAATTGCACTTTGAAAACAGATACCCAGCCCCATCTCCTAAGATAGAAGAGTAATTTCTGTCTTTGAAATTAAGTAGCGCTAAACCACCATTGCATTGTGTTTTAAGATGTGGTGGTTAACTAAACTGTGTAACTAGAAATAGCCTTGATTAAATATTTTCCAGTATGTTCATCTGGAGCTTTTAAAGGTAGAATTACCAGATGTTCCTTACTCCAAGGAACACCCTTTTCATTTTACTGGAACACTTCTTATTCCAGATATTGCAGTTCTGTAGAACAATAATGAGATGCCTCTTTACTTCATACCATTCCATCTCCACAACATTCTGTAAAAAACAGATGCTTTAAATTGTGCAACATGCTCTCAGTTTTGAAATCCTAATGTAGCAGATCCTCATGACTATTAAAAAACCCGACACTTTAAAAAAAATGGAGTTTCGAAACAGAGCTGCTTCTGATTTCATCTTTTGTGTCACCAAGGCCATACCTCTGCCCACAGCTCATCCAGGTTTGTTTTCTTATTTCTGCCTGTTCCAGCCTGGCTAACAGAATTTCTTCACCTGCCACAGTAACATTGCTTTGACTTCTGTTGCATCCTGTAGGCCTTTAGACTACAAGAGATGCCACGAACTCTACGTGCAGCCACCTGAGTGCTATCCGGCTAAGGGTGTTGCTGGTCCAGATTCACCTTGATTCTCAATGAGAAAGGAGGACAATAAAGTAAAAATAAAATCTATGAATTGGCTTCTTTCTCTCATAGCCACTCTTTAACCTGCACAGATAGAGATGTGCTATATAGTTTGCTGCTTGATACTCGCCTGGGGAGAGGCAGTTGTTATTCATCCCAAGCAATTAGAAAGTCAAAAGTCCATTTGTAAAGCTGTTCCCTCTTGTTCAGTGATTGATGTCTGCTTGGATCCTTCTGCCAGTCCTGCTGCTGCTGCTGCTACTTCTGCGTATGGCTCTAGCAGCTATGCTGGGCACTTTATTTATTTATTATTTCAATTTATATCCCACCCTTCCCGCGAACTAGTTCAGGGTGGCTCACAACAATAAATATAAAACAATCTAAAATAATACAATAAAACCAATTCCTAGGCATGGAAGGCCTAGGCTAACAAGTGCAGGGTGAGAGGGTGCTTAGCTCCCCCCCCCCATAAGTGCTTTGCCCTCTTGGGGAACTCTTGGTTTACCCCATTTGTATATGTGAAACTGCCAGTGGAGCAAATAGTGCCCACCGGGGCTATTTTGACTAAGCAAAACAGTGTAGGAGGAGATAAAAACACTCCCTGCACACTATGGTCCCAAGCTGAATCAGGCCGTGGACATCCAGGAATAAAGTTCATAGCATGGAATTTGCAACATGTGCCGGGGGGGGAGGGACGGGGGGCAGTACATGTGGTTAGGTCCTCAGGCAGGTGGTCCACTTTGCTGTTTTCTGTGTTGTCCTTTTTTGAGAGCTTAGAATTGCAGGCACAAGTAGATTCCTTCACTTTCTAGTACATTATTATTCTGAGGTCCCATGACGGCTCGGACTCCTTTCCAATTATCTTCCAAAATGGGAGAACTCTGGAAAGTCAAGAATGAATTTCGTGTGCAAACACACACACCCCATTTCATGCACTTGAGTTACATAATCATATATAGAGAAGAATTGTCTTCCCCCAGCCCCAAAGGAGGGACCCCTCCCATTTTACAGAAGAAATTATCCTTGATGTAATATAGAGTTTGGACCACCACATATCCATAACATCAGTTCACCTGGAGAAAATGGCATTATACCCCACTGAGGTCCATCCCGTTCCCAAATCCCACCCTCCCCAGATTCCACCCCCAAATCTCCAGGCATTTCCCAAACCAGAGTTGGCAAGCCTACACCTAGAAGATTCCCACAGAGTGAGGTTCTGGTTTACACTGGGGCAAAAACATCTTGGGTCTTTTGTGGTTCATTAGTCTTTGTTTGGTTCCTATCAGAACAACATAAACTGGTGTGAGGTGGCCTTATTGTGTTTGGGTGTGAGGGGGAGGGGGTTCCAGATATATTGATTGCTTTTTAAAGAAAATGTTTCATCTCTTTTTCATAGGCGGCAGAATTATTGATCGCTCCACATGGGCACATGTTCCTGAACTGGAAGAATACATTTCAGAGTGCACATTGTTCTGTCCCTACCCATCAGTCCATTTAGCATGGTATGTGCATTTCTTTTTTATTAAGCTGCCTCTTTCTAAGTGTACAAACTCTGGTAAGTGCATGAGTTTTAGACTCCCTCAAAACCCTTTAATGGCTGTTGTGCTGCTTGGGCCACAAACTGACAGTTCCTCATGGGGGCACATGGGTGGTCGAAAAGGACCACATTGGCTTGTTCGTAGTGAAAGCTCTGATGAGCACCCAGGCATGCCTTAGTGAGTACATTCTCGTGGTGAACCTCCCTTTGTGAGGGTCCTTTGTGTGAAACCAAAAAGGTTGGTATGCTTATATGTCATTTAGCTATACCTGTTTAAGTATACCTCTTCGGGACCATCTCTTCTGGTATGTCCCCCAAACAGCATTGTGCCTTATGGACAATAATCTCCCCGGTCCGAAAAGTATTTGTTTAGCCTCAACCTGGGCCAGAGCCTTCTCGGTTCTCGCCCCAGCTTGGTGGAGTGCTCTACCAGAAAAGATCTGGGCCCTACGGAATTTGATACAGTTCCACAGGGCATGCAAGACAGAAATGTTTTACCAGGACCGCGGTTGAGACAGAGAAGCTCCATCTGGATTGGCCCCCCCCCAGCCCCTTCTCCACCATCCAGGGGTCATTTCGTAGAAAAAGAGGTGTAGGAGCTCGTTAGCATAACTTATTTGCATATGTCACGCCCCCTGACGTCACCGGAAGTGTGTCAGAAGGCAACACCCACCACTCAGGCTCCACTGGACTGTTTTGGGTTGCTAGCTATTGGGCAGGGGGGGAACGTGTAGATCTGCCCTCACAGAGGACGGAGAGCTTGTCCCTGAATAAGCCTTGGCCTTAAAGGTGCCACTGGACTGTTTTGGATTGCTATCTGGGGGGGGGGGGCTCTGCAGCTTATCTGGCTGCTTCTTGCTCTGACTGAGGGCTGCTGGGAGCAGGGGGTGGGGCTTGTTGCATGTGCCCGCCCCCTGGGCTCTTTACTGCCGGAGCTCCGCTCCTGTGCGCTCCTGCAGGAAATGACCCCTGCCACCATCTATCCCGTCATTGTACCAGCCTTTCCATTGACACGCAGGCTGTACAAGCCTCACTTTGGATAAATTATGTTATTTGGTGCCCTATATTGCCATCTGATTTTATCTTAATTTATTGTTGTGATAATTGTTTTTAACAACTAATCTACAATATTGTTTTTTAACATTGCTGTTACATGCCCTGAGCCTTCCTGTGCAGGGGAGGGTGGGCTGTAAGCCCAATGAATGAATGAATGAATGAATGAATGAATGAATGAATGAATGAGGTATTCACAGTGCCTAGTTTTCTGTCCAACTGTACCAATTGCTTGGGTGTGCTACACTTATATGAAAGAGTAAGAGTTTATCTACTGACTGTGTCTGGCTGGTACTGTCTCTTCTGTGTTTCTTGAGAGCTGGCTCTTTCATCTTTGTTTTAAAGAATGTGTATGGGTTTTGTTTGTTTGTTTGTTGTTTCTTCAATCAAGTCACAGCTGACTTAGGGCGACCCTGTAAGGTTTTCAAGGCAAGAGTTGTCCAAGGTGGTTTGCCGTTTCCTGCCCCTGCATAGTGACCCTGGACTTCCTTGGTGGTCTCCCATCCAAATATTGACCAGGGCTGACCCTGCTTAGCTTCGGAGACCTGATGAGGTCAGGCTAGCCTGGGATATCCAGGTTATTTTTCTTAGGAGAATGTTTTCTAGATAGAAAAAATATGCTTTCTGTGATTCAAGGAAAGCTATATACTTTAGCACTTAAGACATCCAAAGACATTTAGCAGGGCTTGTCCCCAGACTAAGTAGCGCAATTACTCTGCAAGTTTCGGGCTGTTATTTGTAGGAGTGCCATGCACAGTTTACCTTAGAGTAACAGCAAGAGAATGGGATCCTGCCCCCATGGAGCTTACAACTTGAATTTTGACAGAGGAGAGGCAAGGGAGCGAGGGAAATCAAGATAGAGGTGTGACTAAACAGGACAAAGGGTATATACATTAAATTTCTGTTCCTCCTGTTCCCTCGGGGCAACGTATATGATTATCCTCTGTTAACCCTTAGAATTTGAAGTGAGTTAAGATGAGAGAGTGGGAATAAGTCGAGGTCATCCAATGAGTTTCATGGATGGCTGGGGATCTGAACCAAGGTGACTTCCTGCCTTAGTCCAGCAGTCTAACCACTACACTACACTGCCTCTTAGTGGTCATTGCAGTGAACATCCATATTCACTTAACACAAAAAAAGCTTAGATGTTTCCCTTCGTCAGTGGTTGGATGAGAAGAACCAAGCTCAAACCCTGTGTTCCACTTTAAACTCTCCCAAGCTCACCACTATAGCTGTGGTGGCTCAAGTGGTTAAGACGCTGAACTGCAGGCTGTGGAAGGTCAGTAGTTCAGCAGTTCGAGACCCGGGTGCCGCATGATGGAGTGAGCTCCCACCTCTAGTTCCAGCTCCTGCCAACCTAGCAGTTCGAAAGCAAGAAATTGCAAGTAGATAAATAGGGACCACTTCGGTGGGAAGGTAACAGCGTTCCGTGCGCCTTGGTGTTTAGTCATGCCGGCCACATGACCACGGAAACGTCTTCGGACAGCGCTGGCGCTTCGGCTTTGAAACAGAGATGAGCACCGCAACCCTAGAGTCGGATTCGACTGGCTTTCGAGCAAGGGAACCTTTACCTTTACCTAAGCTCACCACAGAATTGCTGCCAATCCCACTACACTACACAGTATCCCTTCTTCTCTGTCTGAACGGCAATTGCCCCGACGTGGTTTTCCCAGGGTGCAGTGCCAAATTCAATAGAAAAACCTACAAGAGATGGAGTGGCTCATGCTTCTACCACAGAAGCCACTTAAAATGCTTCTTTGGAGGACTGAAAATTGCAGAAAGTCAAGGTTTCCATTGATCTTCCGGCTCACTAACACATTGAAAAGGAGAATTCCTAAGCCTGCTTCGAGACGATAAAATGTGAAGTTCACCGGCCTAAATAATAAAATTACCCGACCGATGCTAGGTGACCAGATGAAAATGTGCAGTGGATTCCTTTGCAGAATTGACCCTTGTGTTTTATTTATGTCTGTTATTGAAAAGATGAACATCCTGCCCTCTCTCAAACATCTTTCAGGGCTTTGGAGATGTCCTGCCTCCCCAGAGAAGTAGGTACGTTTGACTTCTGTCTTTTGGGTGCTAACCTAACTACTCTCTTTTCCCGTTTATAATTATTCTTTAAAGGTACTGATCTGCTGCTGCTGACTTTTCGTTTGGTTCATTCATCGGATCTTATGTTTTGTTGTTTTTAAATTATTTCATTACCTTTATATAAGCTACCTTTGAGCATTTGATGGGGGGAGGAGAGAAAGAAACAGTATTCTAGCATTCCACACTTCTGCACCTGCATTTATATCCTGCCATCTTAAATTTAATTCGATCATTGTTTTAAATGTTTTATTGTGGACCTTTTGTGAGCTGCCCTGAGCCTGCTTGCATTGGAGGGCGGGATAGAAGTGTAATAAAATAAATAAATGTATTTGTTTATAAAAACTTTTTTTGTACCACCAATCGGTTGCCTCAAGGCACAGGAGGTAGCTTAGTGCATCTTTATATAAAACCTAACCAATAGAAGTGGAAAAAGCAAATTAAAAAGAGAACTAAAAAAATCCACTGTTTCATTATTGCTGATTGCTAAAGGCAAACCTACACTAACAGTCTTGCCTTGCTTTCGAGTACAGCAAAGTTCAAATGCAAGGGCGGGGAATATTGCAA